GGTTGTACCATTATTGGCAACTTTATCGCTTGCGCAGGCAAAACGGAAAAGTACCGGAAAATATTATTGCTGGCCTTGAGTGTATATGATTCAGTAAAATACGTACACAATTAAATCTTGAATAATAAGTTTTCCTTTATTAAATAAGCACCCATATCTCCACGTGATCTTAATCTACATTCAAATAATATCATAGCGAATTTTTTTCCTACAGCTCATATTTAATATCAGATTTTATGTTTTGTACCTTTAATTCTTAAATACTATTTGGCTTATGACAGCTGCTTATCTTAAGCTGTTTTAGATGTTAAACTGAAACCACCCTACCAATGACCGAATGCTTAAGATCGCTGAATGCTGGGATTTCAACTGAGGTTCAGATCGAAGAAAGCGAGCTGACTACATGGTTATTTTTCCTGGTTTCCAGCAATTATAACGCGAATTATAACCAGTTTCTTTTAGTAAGTCCTCCATGAATACAACCTTCTTCTTAGGCCGATATTCCTAGTGTGTTTTACCATATTCTGGTAACTTAACTTTAAAATTACTTTTGCATATCAAGATTAGATTGCAGTTTCTTTTTGATCTTATGCTTTTATGGTTTTTTTAAGTATTTTTTTTAAATTGAAAGATTAGATTGCAATTTCTTTTTGATCCTATACTTTTATATTTTTTAAATATTTTTCAATGTATTTTTTTATTTTTTTAAAATTGAATATAACACATTTCGAGGTGTTAGATTCTAATCTAAAGTTTTCACATTGCAGATTTTAGCTTTAAAAAAGTCTTGAGCTTCAATGGAAATTTTGTTAGATTTTATGGTTATTACTTAGTTGGGTTTTTTTAAACGCAATTCTTAATTAACGTCTGAAGACGAAAATTTCATCCCAAAATAAATCTCTGAGATATGAAAAATATGCATTAATGATTTATATGAATCCAAGCTCCGGGTGTTTTTAACCTTTCGAATGTCATGCAGATAAATTTTTCGGGAAAATATGCGCAATCTTAAAAAAAAGAGAGAGAGCGAGAAGACAACAAAAGTTATCACGAAAAGTTGCGGTTACAGTAACCTTTTGCCAAAAAATAATTACTTTCCTTGGTTTAAAAATTCTGTAGAGAACCTTTTAAGGCAAAGAAATGAATGGTAAGCCTTTTTTACTTACATTTTCGCTAAGTAATTAAATAAGAGATATTTTCTCTTTCATTCTTATGCTGCACAGATCTTCAAAGATCGAGTCAAATACATCAGAGATGTTTACATTCTTAATTTAATTACAAGTTCCTTTCATTTTCCAGCGCAAATACTATTAGGTGCGCAGCTGATATAAAGCTTATGTTGAAATTATCCCTGCCTTGGCTCTTTACGAAAAAGACTTTTAGATTTCTGATCCTCAAAATGAAATTTTTTTTCACCCCCAATCGAGGTGAGGATCTTAACACTTAACAAAAATATCGGTGCCATTAATAAAATCTTAGCAAGCTTAGAAATGCAGCCTCTTTTTATTAGATGTAATAAGATTAGAAATTACCACTTTTCAAAGAGATACGTATGTATTTCATGAAATTCATTTTACTCAGGCTCTTAAAATTCAAAAGCGATATTTTTATAAGAAAGTTCTTTTCTCCGAATATCTTCGGTTATTGTTTATATCTTGCGGAAAAATAGCTTATGAATTCATTATATCGCGTCGTGACAAAGTGCGTTTTTAATACTCACGTGATCAATGCACATTTGTTACGTCTTTTCTAAGTGGAAAATTCTTATTCCGATCAAAGATGCCGCTTCAGTTTTTATCACGCTAATGGCTTTGAAAATGGATACCAAATTTAAAACCACGGCTCGTCTTATAAGAAATGGTTAAAAGAGAAGGGAAATAATAAAGTTAATTACAATTGTCTAATATTCGGGCATGACAAAATAACTGTGAGCTTTATACGGAGAAATTTCCTTCTGAAGGCGTAATGGTTCAAGTAGTTTTTTGGAGACATTAAGTTTATTGGATTAAACAAATTAAATCGCTATGGCAAATATTTTTTACTAAACCTCTTAGTTAATAAGGTGCATAAAACCATTTGCTTTACAAAACAAGCAGAACATAATGGTATGTGTAAATACAAAACTACAAAATATGTCTGAAACATAAAAAAATGTACAGCAATCATTCCATTTACAAAGGTCATAACTGTTCAGGAATAACTAGCAGACAGTTTTTTGCACGGAAAATACTTGAGAATTAAACTTTGTCCGTGTTGTTTTCAGTCTGTAATTTCAAAGTTTTCTATAAAAAGAATAATGCGTTGGAACATTATCGTCTGTTTATTATCTACTCGAAAACAATGATTAACTCTGAAAAGTGCTGAACAGACAGCTTAAATGAAATTTAATTTAAAATTTTCAGGGATGTGTTGTTTATTACACCTCAATTATGAAGATTTATATTGCCCACATTTACATAAATAATCAGTTATTTACTATCAAATAATTTTATATTTGCATAAATATTATTATTGTAAATGGACATCTTTCAATCAGTATCTAAATTATAATGTGATAAGAACATGTGTTATCGGTCACTGCTAAAGCTTTAGATTACCACTCCGCGTAAGATATTTATTTTTCAAATTTAATCAGAAGTTTTGGCGATATAAAAGAAATATATTGCCACTCGCAATACATTTGTCTTTTGAATGAAATAAAGCGATTTGACAGAAATGTGTTATCACTGCTTGAATTAAAATATTTTCTTATCTTCTACGTGGCAGTGTTTTTTCACTCAGTAAAGCTTAAGGTACTTTATTTTCTTTCAAATTTATTCTGTTATTAATTTACATACTAAGTAATTTTAAAGCAATAAACGCATATTCATTTCAATTAATATTAATTACTAACTGGTCCCGTGAAATAACATAAGCTAAATTCATTAAAAAATCTTCTGCATATATCAAACAGAGTGACCCTTTTAGTTTGTTTGCGTGTGTAATTGTGCACATTTGCAGTTTTATTCCGATCTTGATGAAATTTTGCAGACTTCACCTTCAAAGAAAGAATACCTCTTTACGCAAGATTTCGAAAAATCTCAGCGTCAAACTCAGAGCGTTTATATTACAAAGTTGCACTCACGTCGCCCATTCACGTCGCGGTTAACATTTAATCATATCTTAGGTTCATGTCGTCACTGTTGCATTCCCGCTATCAGTGGAAGTCATATATATACTAAGCAATGAATTTATAATAGTTTTTTTACAAAAATAAATATTAATACTTCTACACAGTTTTAGTTTTGAAATCACTGCATCTATTTTAGGTTCACGTAGACCTTGTTGCGTTCCCGCTATCAGTTATTAACAAAACCGTTAGATGGTCCAGCGCTCGTTTATTCTTTAGAGCAATACACAACCTTTAAGGCAAGATTTAAAAGCGCTCTCTATCGTTTTTCTCGAATATTTTGAAAATAGTGAAAAAATCGACTGAAATGAATGGTGATTTTCCTAAAGCTCATTTCCGCAAAAGAGATGTAACCAATAATAGAGCAAGTACAGTTATTACTATTACATGGCTCTGTGTTAGATCTACAGCATACTACATTTTATACGAACTTGGTAAAATTTTGTGCAATCCTCCTTGAACCAAAATAAGAGAAAATTCTCTGTCTACCAAAGATTTCGAAATAACTACTCCTATCCTTCTAAATGAAGTGTCTCCACTCTGTGTAAATCCCGGACATCACAGTATTTTAAATAGTAAATTAATAATCGTTAAGGATTATGATGAAATGTTAATTCGCTGCATTAGATTAACTGTGACATATTATTATTTAAAGGTTTTCTGTATTTTGTCTAAATCGAAAAAGGAGAATAGCCTACTTCCTACGGGAAAAAAACATTTATTTCATTTAGAATAATCTAAACTCAAATATATCATACTGATACACGCCAGTATCAAATATAAAGTTAGGCAAGAATTGGCCTTCGGCTGGCTTTGAATTTATAGAAATTCCGTTGAATTTGCTGTAATTATAATAAGAGTTCGACAGAAATTTAAAATTCTAAGGCCATCGTAGTTAATTTTTGCCTGATTTTATGCCTAATTTTATAAAGAACTTTTTAAAGGCTATGCAGTTTTTAAGGCGTGAAAGCGCAAACCCCTATCCGAAACCTTTTATACTTATTTTTCGAACAATCATTTCCGGACGCAAATAATTTTCTTACATTTTATGGTTTTAAATATTATAGGCTTTGGACTAAATTATTCCAAGTGGTATTTAGTATGGAATATACCCATATCTACTGAATGTACAGACGTTTAATCAATATAACTGTTTTCTATTTCTATGACCAGAAGTCTCAGAACTAGCGAAAGAATTACTGATCTCCTACCATCTTTATAATTTAAATGGCATCAGATAATTTGAATTAAGATATAACTCAAACATGAAGATATATGTGTATATACTGTGTTGAATTTACATTTCATACTTTATGAATGCTGCTGAAATTGTGTAGTTTAAAGGTTGCATTATATAGTCAAAATTTTAATTGATTGCATATATTCAAATAAATGATTTCTATATCCATGTACAAGGATATATTTATAACTCATATAAAACCCAGATGTAGAAAACAAGTCATGAAAACATACCTATGCATGTATTATATATAAACATATGTATTTAAAGTAATTACTGTACATAATTTTTATATGTACTTATATAGATATACATATTTGTACTTAAAAATTTATAAAATTCTTCTCTAAGATTTATATTGTTTTCCTGCGAAAAACCCTTTTTTGCAGCAAAATAAATAAGAAAATTTATATTTTAATCTTTTCCTTTTTTAAAGAGAACGCAATCGTGTAAGTAATAAAATGTATGCATTATATTTATTTTAATCTAAACTAACTTTCCGATTAGCTTAATATTTAATTTTCAGATATTGAATTAATGATTTTAAAATTTATTACAATCCTTTCTCAAAAATTACAATTTTTTCTACAGTTTTAGAAAGCTCGCAGCATGCTTACAGAAAAAGATACCAAGAAAGTCCAATGAGGTAAGAAAACTTTTAATGCTTTCTTTTAAACTAAATGAATAGAAAAGTCCCACATTGAATGCATAAAAAGAACGGTTATTTCTTAACATCTTACTTTTTTTGCGAAACGATTTATACCTATAAATTTATCCTCAGTTTTCTATGGAACGTGGTCTATCTCAGAGGAGTATTATTATTTTTTTTTTATTTGCTAAAACTTTAGACAAGATATAAAGCAACTTCAGACAAGCACCTGTGTTTTCCTGACAGTTATTTAAAATATTAATTGTCATCTGCCATCTACAAGAGTAGTACCTAACCCAAGGTTAATAACCAGTCATATACATGACCCAGGAAGGCCAAATGTATCTTCATGATGATTATTATAGTGATGGTGGTATTTAAATAAATAATAATAATGCTGAAAGTATCTTGATAGCTTAAGGTTAAAGGAGCTCAGTAATATTTTTATTTGATGAAAGCATAGATTTGACAATAAATTGCGAATAAATAATCTCTACATTTTATTAATGCTGCGTGTTTATAGATTATTTTGGATCATAAACGTATTCGAAGTATATTCTAATTGAAACTAAGAATTTTTTGAAGAATATCAGCATTTGCTGAGTTTAAGAATTCAGTCTCGTTTGGGTGCATTACTTATAGTAGTATAACCGTATTTTCCCTCTCTCCTCTCTTCTAACTACTAACTTTAAAGATTCAAAATTAAAAAAGAAAACTAACTGCTGCATTACTTATAGAAGCATATATGTATTTTCTCTTCCCTCCTTATGCACATACACATACTAAATGCTGAATATTCTATACTCAGTTGACTTATATAGAAATAAGGCCTGCTAGTGACCGATAGAATAAAACAAGACACCTAAACTATAGTGACATGGATATGTATGACTGTAGCCGGCTTAGCAACCCCAATCACTACATATTTGAATGACCCTTTAATCAGGACCATCATCTCAAATTACCGGCTCTTGACAATGGACGGCTTCAACAGGGAATGCACTCTTCAATAAAGCTGCACAACTTTGAACTGAAAAATCCATTAATGACTGCTCCCACATATGCCAGAATTTCTCATCGTCAAAAAAAATGTGACCTCTAAGAAAAGTATATTTCACGCACCATTTACCTAATTGTATATATTTTGCATTAATATTAAGTACTATTATGATTTTATTTTATGTAATACTGTGCATGTACTTTATGTAATTGCGCCCAGACGGGAAAATGGTTAGAGACTCTGACTGCCGTATCGAAGGGCTCGGGTTCGAATCCCGAAGAAGGCATGGATGTAAACTTGTCTGTCCTTTCATAGGAAGTAACGGTGATCGCCTATTTGGTGCCTCCACAATAAAATCATCATTACTTCTGGCCTTAGTGGCCAACAAAATAATCTAATGTCTCTACATGCTGTTGTGAAAGCTGTAAAATCTTATTATATATGTAGTTTTTTATGCTCTTTTATGTGTCTAGTTTATTATTTTCTTCTTATATTTATATATCTTATTTTCCAATAAAATTTCACAATGGGGGGATCACAATGGGGGAATTTCACAAGTTCCGGATGGCCCGACCTAAGACGAATGTCATCTGGGCGGTGTACTGTCCACGTGACAATGAATTGGCGATAGTTTTATTTATGAAAGCAGCGCTGTTTATCAGAAATTAAACAACTGATAATTAAATACGTAACATTATTGACTTGCGACGAAAGTGAATGCTTTTGGAATGGAAGGAGCAGGGAAGTCGAAGCTAAAAATTACTTCATATGTTATTCTTAACATATGGGCTTGTGAATGACGCTGGTTGTAGAAACAAACAGAAAGTAATGCGAAATACAATTTCATCACTCACCTAAGAAAGAAAACTTCTCAAAAGATTATCATATCCAGTAATTATCAATATAAGACAAAATTGCAGCAATACAGAACATTTCAAATACTGTACCTGGCATCTGAATGCTGGCTTTATCATCGGTTACATTTACAGTTGTGCAATGAAAGGTTCTCATACTCAAATTTACTTAAATTTGTAGGCCATCATTTTCAGGGATGAATGACGCTTTTGCATAAATATCCTGTGACTACTTTCAAACATTGCGAAGTTCGATTAAGGAATGCATACCTCTTTCCGTGAATCGTTGATGTCTTGGTGTGGGAGCATTAATGATGGTTGGCGACTTCTTTGGAATAACTCCAGTATTTTGACTGAGAATTAGTACTTTGACAAAAGTTGTGTACAAATTGTATTATTGCATATTCCTACATTTAATTTTCCAGCAAATCAGCACATTCTGCTTCGTTCCCTTTGTAATATCTTATACACGTTGACTTTCTACCATCTTGTCGAACTCATATTGCATTCACTAGAGCAATACCTTATGTCTCTTAGTTAATTGCCAATAACCATCAATAAAGTGATATCAAGAAGCACGAAGAGTAGTCGCATAAGGAAACAGGATTACTTTCAGCTGTAATCAATTTCCAATATTTGCTGTTTTGTTTTATGCTCTTGGTTATCATATAAGTTGCTAGCTTTTAATATGAATTAATTTTGGTTAAATCATTCCTATGTGTAAAATTAGTATATCTTATGAAATTTCAAACTAAGATAAAGTTTTAACTAAACCAATGGCTGATATTCTTCAAGTGAATTAAATATCCAGAAGAATTTTCTTATTTTGCAATCTTCATTTTAAATTTCTATAAATAATGAAATGGCTAATGTCTCCTCTTGTTAATGTTTTTGTCTGATTTGAACACATCACCTTCAAGACTTCGCTAAAATAAATACGCAGATGTATATGGAATCTATTCCAAAATGACTTTTTATTCAAATTTATGCCCGGAGATTTAAAATGCTAGGTTTTCGCTGGACATAGATGACCCTCATCTCAGTGGAATGGATCGTGAACTTGTTATTTCATACTCCGTTATCACTGTTTTGTTTCCATACTGATCTGGAAGGAGACTGGAAAAGCAGTTTCCCTCACTAGCATAAATCTTCTACACGGAGAAATTTTGACAAAAAATATCAAAGAATACTAATACATTCTGCACAAGAACGTAATATACGACGTTAAAATTTCTCTCATGAATAATGATAACGCTGGAAATATTCGTAAAAAAACATCAGTTTGATATTTTTTAATTTTTATAAGGTAAATATTTTATAAAAAATAAAAGTGAGATTTAAATTCTTAAGTGCGTTCATTGCTTTTAAATCGTGCTGTTTCTTAAATATTAATAGACTTATTAAACATGAACTTCATATAACACACTTATGCACTTCATATAACATAGCATGATGAATGAATTGCATGAAGTTGTGAACAATGTTTTATGCGAACTTAAAGTTTTGTTTTACGCGAACGTATTCTTTTATGCATTTTAAAGCTTTGTAAGTTGTGTAATGTTTCTTTGCTACTGTGAAAAATTAACATACGGATGTCCTTTTAAAATTCTTACTGTTATGATTATTTCGTTGATTGAATATTAATTAGTCTATTCTGTATAAAGATATTTTCATATTACTAAGTAAAAATGTTTTTGGGTAAAATTAGTAAAAGTTGTGTTCGGGATTCATTGAAATAATAAATAAATATCACACTATCTTGAAATGACCATAAGGTAACTGCTTCAAATTTTGAAATTTGTAAATCTTTGATATTACAGTTTTTTCTTCGGCTAGAAGCTGCTATGAAACCCAGTTTTATTTTAACTGAGATCTAGATACAATGCGTAAAGTGATGAATTTCACATACTGAAATTTGTGGGATTTCCAGCTGATAGAATCTTAATGACTCTGAAAATTTAACAGATCCACCATGCATTCATTAAATATTTTTTATTATTATTATTTTTCATTTCTTACAGGTTTTGAATCTGGTAATAAAGGAAAAAACTGACATAAGTAAAAATATGTTAATATATTGGTAAAATTTCCACCAACGGAATCTAAATTTAACTTTTATATTACATAGGGTGGAATCTTCAACAATGTCTGATCCCTCCTGCGGCCTTCACGTGAGTAATTATTTCATTATTTAATTAATATTTGGGTAGAATCAAATGTAATATGCACTAGTTATATTTGAAAACATATAAAATTAGTGCAGCTGTCATGAGAAACTATCATTTTTGGTATCATTAATTGAATGTTCTCAGATTTGGATCATCTAGCTAAAAATATGACACTAAAAATACAGAATTTTTTTTTCTGAGAAGACCCTATTAGCTACAATCCAGCAAAAATGTCTGATCCGTTAGATTAAAACTAAAATATAAACACCTCGGAACATATATAATGCTACCCATTACATTCTTTCCATGACATTTAGGCATAAGTCTTAAATTAAAATTGCGCATGTACATTGCGAGAAAAAAAAAAGGGGAGACAGTTCTATATCTCCCGTTCTACTGCGCCGATTGACGAAATTCAACTTGCGTTTTTCATGTCTCGAAAGCGCGACTTAGAATATGCATTAGATTTATATATAGCATTGTTCTAATGCATGTATTTTGATACAAAATGACTTGCCAATTTCTTCCATTTTTCGATTCTACGACTCGAATTATTCCGAAATGCCCAGTTTTGTAAAAATTCGAACCAGTAGTTTTTAGAACTATTAGTTCTCAAAATTTTAACTCCTCAATGTTAATTGAATTTGATATATATTTATTACTATCTCTGTTATTATTAAACTTATTTCATTTTCCCTTTCATATTTCGAAATTTAGGTTCATTCCAAATAAAACTCGCCTATTTTTATGATTTTTTAAAATTTGTATTCTTAAATAATTTTTATATAAATTCGAAAAATATTTTGAATTATAACCTCTATGTTGCTATAAACCTAAATAAGTTGCTATAAACTAAGAAGTTCACCAAGTTAATTATTTTTAGCGCAAAGTGAAAAAAATTTGCCGAGATAAATTTTTTAATTTCTCTAAAAATTTCACGCCAAAAATTACAAAATTTAACATCTAGGCATAATTAAAGTCGTAGAATTTGAATTTCGTCAATCGGCCCAGTAGAGCGGAATATATAGAACTATCCCTTTTTTTTTCGCAGTGTACCTTGCTGTTATGAATAAACTTAAACGTTTCGAAAACAGAAAGGCTTGTTTCTCTAAAAATAAATTAAAATAAGTTTAAATCATTAGAACTTATGAAATCAAGGATAATAATTCTGAGTGAATTTCCAAAGCTTGTAGTAAAATGCAACCGTGCTTGAGTTATTTTTTTGCAGTAATTAAAGTAGTAACATAATATATTCTTTTATTCAAATTTATTTCGCTTTTTATTTTATGTTACTTAGTTTCATTTTAATTTACTCTATTTAGCTATTTTTCAATTTATTTATTTAATTATTAATCTTTAAAAGAGGTTACCAGTTTTATTCTTCCAAATATTCTTTGCTATTTAATTCTTTCACGTTTCCAGAATTATTTTTTTTTTCTTTATTCAACTATTACTTGATGTTAATGTTTATTGTATCAAAAAAGTTAACTTTAAAGATTCGCACTAGGGGTTTTGCTAAAGATATACACATAATTATGTAAAAATCTTTCCTTCTATACATGAAGCAACTTTTTTCATTTACAGAAAGTTATTTTTGATTCATTCTTTTCAAACTATCTTTCAGCGCCGCATATTCGCTTTTAATATTTCCTTGCGAGTATTATATTTTTAACATATATTTTTAAAAAATTTTTCACTAACTCATTTTTTTTCAATATCACAGTAATTCTTTAGCTTTAAATTGTTTTTCGATTTTTATTAGAGTCATAAATACAAGGCTTTTTCTTATTAGTATGCATTTATGGCCATCTATCTATAGGAAAAAGAGGAACATTTTTGATTCATTCTGCAGAATATCATGAATGGAGCTGGAATTTTCTCAATAGAAACAAAGTGACTGAGACTAAAAACACTTAAAGAATAATCATGAAAAGATTCTATGCGCAATTTAACGCCGACTTCTTCTAAATTCATACTATCATAACAATAGAAAACCATTGAAGTCAAAGTAAGAAAAAAGATAATAATAAAAGAATTGCACTGCTCCTCTGTTGTTATGTGCTCGGATTTTTAGCGCTCGCTTCTCCATTATTTTAATCGCGCCGTGGACTTAAAAGTAGCAATTACGAGTCCAGCAAGAGAGCCAGTTGTAATGAGCACCGAGTGAATTAAGTTCATTATTTCTCCTCCACAAGTCCCCCATTTAAGATCGAATTCGAGAACTTTTGGGGAGAGAGTTACTTTTTAGTAATGGCTTTTCTAAATGATGGAAGGCGGGAAGAGTTGAGGGTCACTTAGCAGAAAATATTCGCTTGAATCCAAGAACTGACCTTTGACCCCAGAATGACCATTCAGTGTGGCTTCATCGTGCTTCAGTTCTTCGAGGTTAACATACTTTACCCGGAATTCTCAAAACCTGCGAAAGCAAATTTTCAGTATCTTTCCTTGTAATGATAAAGGACACATTTATTTGAAGAGATTTTGCTATACAGATAATTAATTTTTACTATTACAAGCATTCTGTCTTATATGCTCTTTTTAACAGATTTATTTTTGGTGCTTTGTTGTTGTTTTCTTAAGCGAGCGGAATTTATATCCCACATCAAACTAACTACAAAAATTTTTTAAATTAAAATATATTAGTCATCTGAGCTGTGGTTGTTAAAAGTATTACGCTATGGGTATAAATTGTTTATTGAGTAAAATTCGTTTTCTGTTTTTTTAGTTGCACATTTTAATCGCCATGGATGACAATTTGATTCAGTGATTCATGGCATAGATACGTATATAAATTAAAAATAATGAGAGCCCTTAAAAATACTTCATAAAAAGTCTCTCTTTTTATTCTGTACGGAATATATGTCATAGAAATGTAGTCATTAAAATTATTGATTATTGTTATCTTAAAGAGGAAACCTACGTTTCCCTTGACATGTTTTGTGTGTATTCTATGTGATAGAAGCGTAGCAGCATCAAGTATACTGCATTAAATGCATATAATTCTTCAAAAAATTTGCAATCAATGATATCAAAACCAAAAACTTAAATTTTTGATAATGCCAAAAGCAAAAACTGAAAACAAACAACTGAAATAAATTGTGACAGCATTTTTATGAGACACAGCTAGTTTTACAGAATATGTTACAAAAGATATTACTGCGGTTGAGTACATTTGTCTGCACGCTTAAGCATGCTACCAAGCATCCCTACGGAACCTTTTCTTATCTATATAGTCAAAATAAACAAAAGGAGGATGACAGATAAGGAAGGCGTAGTAATGGTAATTTTCAATTCCTTCAGCGTGTGTCTATTATTTATGTACACGGTTTACTTTAAACATGTCTCTAAAAAGTAGTCTATTCCAGTGAGATTTGAATAGCAAATAAACGAGATCATTTTATGCCAAACACTAATTAATAGCAAATACATTATTCCAGCAGCATCGTAATAATGTCCGATATATTACAACGAATCCAAGAGTGACGTTCATCTTGGGCAGGAAACAAATGAATTCCCAATCTTAACTTCGAATTTAGAAGATCTTATAAAATACTCTCTGAATATCACATAAACATCTGGTCTTAAAACTAACCTCTCTTTGTCATATTTTACATTCAGTACGCATCCAATTTAACAATTTCTTTATCGCCTTTTCAAATGGCTTCTGCTTCTGCTGCAGATTTACTAAACAACTGAATTATGCGCAATACTGAACCCATAAATTTATCTTGAAATAACAAATCCATCAGGAAAACTTTCTTTAGTTCTGATCCGCTTATAATAATTATTCAACAGCCCAAGACGTTACAAAAAATACAATCATGTTCAAACACCTATTTCCCTCACGTGACTCTTCAATTCCGTATCTGCTTCAAAAAACTACATACTCCCCACCCAACTAATCGTTTTATTACCTCTTACATTTAATAGAAGAATATACTAGTAATAAGGTAAGCAGTGCAAACGAAATATATAGAAAATTATATAATCTTAATTGTGCCATCCATTTTCTCCATATTTGAACATATGATATACAATTAAGACACAATAACACGCCGAATAAATACTGATTCAGAAGTCAAACAACAAAAATCAGCGTTAATTCACAAATTTTTTTTTTTTTTTTTTTTTTTTTTTTTTTTTGTGAATTAACGCTGATTTTTGTTGTTTGACTTCTGAATCAGTATATGATATACATACATGTACTCTATAGTAATACAAATATTTCATAAACTTGTAAAATAGCAATACCATTTCCAAGTGACATCAGTTCAGACATTCGGGGGCATTCCAAATTAAATTAGACAAAAATGCAGCCTTATTTCATTTTTAAGCATTTATTTCTTTCCTTATATCGATTCGTTTTAAGACTAATTTCGACCTTCTTTACATCAAACTTCAGGTTGAATGTTTTCCTAATTCTATTTTTCATCGTAACGTGTATGTATTAATTATATCGATAATATTTGTCTCAAATCGATCTTCCTTTTCGCCTTTAGATTATATAAGAATACTTAGAAATTATTATTATTATTACTCTGAGCCTGAAAAGCGATTTGCTGTATTATTGTAAATGTTAAGTTAAAAATATACAATGAAAATGTTAACTTCTTTTCTTTCAAAATATACTGTTTTTTCTTTTTCAATTAACTGAAATTTTATATAATAGTGTCACAAGAAGTAACAGAGTATAAGATACTATTTCAAGTATTTTCCTGCTTCCCACATAGTGAAGGAAACTGATAGTAATAACATCCTTCTAGGAATACGTACTTTCCCAGAAGCCCATTAAAGCAGCATTCTAAATTCTTTTCAATAATATTAATTATACAGTACATCATAGAGTGTATTTGTTTTTATAAAAAATACCTTCCATTAAGGTCGAAAAACTATGCTGAACATTTTCAAATTTGATGGTCTAGCAAAGCTTGACTTTTGTGGGTTCAACTGATATTATTCTACCTTTAATTTCCGATTCTAAGAAATATCGAAGCTGAATGCTA